ACAAATATCGTTATCTCAGCATAGTGCACTCAGAGAAATAGCCGGTAGTGAATACCAAACGTTTAGTAAAACAGGCGCCAGTTGTGAAAATGACTTTGAGTTTTTGTATTCATTTTCCAGAATTATTCTCTCTTCAGATTTTCCCCATTCTGTCTAGATGAGACCATACACGATCAAAAGTGAAACAATACGGTGAAATTTCACAGCAACCATTCCCTGGAGACTGTGGAAGTCAAGATCTCACTCAGACAGCCGAGTCGTCGTCTAATGTGTAGGGGAGCAATTTCTAGTCGGGTATAAGTGGTGGAGGAATTCCTTCCATGCTTATAATACGAAATCCCCCTGAACGTGGTTGTAAGAGTTGTTCGCTCTGGCGTGTGCTGGAATTGATGGAATTACGAGTGAAAACCGCTTAATGAATTGCCGAAAAACACAAGGTTGGGGGTGAACTTCATCCATGTGCCACAGGGTACCATTCGTGGGCCCATGTTCCCCATGATCAATGATGATATATCGATCGAATGAGCTATGGTACTGAAATTACTCATCCAGACAGTTTTTTTCCATATTTCAATATAATATGAATGTGCATTCTGATTGCACAGAAGACTTAAACGTCAATGTCAATAATTTCATTCGTAGTCAAGTCACTGTATAACAAAAAATCTGAAAGGTATCTTCCATGCAGTAATAAATTTTGCGCCTTCTTAGTGGCCACCTGATGTTTGGCTAGATATTTGTCATTTTCATTTCATTATCAAAATAATTCGAGACTTACCAGTCCCAATAGACGTTCTCCAATTATCAATATCTAGGGCACCAACGTATGGAGTTTCATGTCTGATTGTTGGATATTCTGTGTTGAACAATCATGTCTGCCAAAATAAATGTTTTTACGCGTCGTAATTTTGTTTTTGCAATTGAAAGTATTATATGTTTTTTTAATACATCTAAGAATATGTATACAACATTTCATGATAATCGGTCAAGTGGCTTTGGCGTGAATATCCGACAAAATTACATTCATATTTATGATATTAGTAGGGATATAATTGATTGAAATCAATAATCAAGGAGAAATACTTACGCTTGATCAGTTTGTCTTTCTACTCGGATGTTTCTCCTACTCACACAAACAAATGAGAGCAAAGACAAGCAAAGACAGGTAGAGATCGTATTATGCCACAAGGTACCATGCTCGGGCCATTCTTTTTTCGTGATGAATGCTGATGACGATGTATGACCAACGCATGAGTTATGGAACTGGAACTATCATTCCGATATACATATATTCTCCATCCATTTTGACGATTAAGTAAATATGTCTTTGAAAGAATTATTGTGTTATTATTATGATACTAGTTCTGTCGGAATTTTTGGCTCAATCTAACATTTACGAACTGTACTCAGTATTCTATTCATTATCTCAACAATCCCAACCATAGCACTGATGTAGAGTTATAACTCCTGAAGAGCTGTTAGTTAGTTATATACCTAACAGTAATTTTAATTTTGATTTCAGATTTGGAGACAACTATTGAATTCAATCAGAAAAATATTGTAAGTATTATTATTACCTTCATTCAATGTATGTAAATTTTCATACCGATAACGATCTCTTTTCATTCTTCATAAGTTTGTTTTATATTCAGTGGTAGTTCGAATTTATTTGTCCATGCATGGTAACTGCATTTATATCACACTTTTATATCCAAATGACACTCATCTTTATGGTGGTTAGTCAATTTTTTTTTTGAATCGCGTGTCGAGTGCACAACATATATAATCGCGTAAAAAACACATCAAAACCATTAAAACCTATATACCATCAACGATAGAGTGCTTGCACGATAGTTATACTATAATGAATGGTGTTCCACCAAATTATCTATTGTGGGCATTGAATATGTTTCATCGTTCTACTTATTTCCAGCCATCATGATCGTTCATTCCATTGGTATATTCATTGATATATTCGAAAAAAATGCAAGAACTGGATCAAATACAGCAAAGAGGTCTAGGCCACTAGATGACGATAAAGTAGTATCCGATGTCTTCGAAGTAAATTTGATGTTCATGTGTTTTGATTTTTGATTTCATAATTTTTTGAACCACCTTCCAAAAGATGGTTGCCATCAATGCAATGATGAACTTTGGCCAGGCAAGGTTCTTACTCGAACAATAGTAGTTTCATTCAGGGTTGTTCGGTTGAGGACGAGTGGTATTGCTGTACTGCAACACAATGTGCGGTTAATTCGGACAACTACATCTATAATTATTTCCGGCCAAACTGACAGACTTTGTTTGGCTCTCCATGGTTACATCGTTGAAAACACAAAAACTGATAGACCAATCAGAATTGAAAGACAGCTAATGTTTTCGCGATAACATAAGTTGTCTCTGGATTATGATTATGTAAATAGTCATCATCATTTCCGAATGAGATTACATGATGAAGTTCTGTAAGTATGCTTCACTTGTGATGCTGAATTCAGGGTTTCAAACAGGGTTGGCTTAGGGTACTTCCATCCCTCACTTTGTTGCTAGCAATTATTTCTGCCATTTCACCACAAAAATTGAAAATTGTAAGTTTTTTCCATGAAAAACGTAATCCGCTTGTTAGATTTTGATGAAATGCACAGTTTCAGTAGTAGTAGTAAAAACAAATTGGACATGATATCACAAATCGGAAATTTTCTGAAATTTCACATCAATAGAATAAACAAAACTAGGAAACTAGTCGACTCCCAGCATATATCTCAAGTCTCTACATCTCCTTAGCTGATGGAAAACTATTTCGGATTGCTAATCATCCTAAGTTCGATTTATCCAGCTGATATTTCAAACACGAAGAATCAGGCTTCACGTATTATAATGAATTCGAAGCTGGCATAGACGAGGCGAAATGATCGCCATCTAGAGGCGAAAATTCAAGTGGATGTAGAATGAACAAAATATTCAATTGATTTTACATATTTCGTTGCCCTATTCAAGCAAAGGATCCGTTCGAAACGAGTTTATTGCTTCATCGGAATAAGAAAACTTGTATGTTGTTTCGAAGATATAATCTCATCAAAATGATCATTGTTCGATCAAATTAACGAAATGTTTATAGTTGAATCAACATCGACATTATTTTGGATCGACATAATTTGTTTTTGAAGAAACCATATATTTTGTTGATGGAATTGATATTATACTGTTGATTCAATTAGCCTACATTCTTGATTTGAACAAGCTGCTTCCATGGAATAATCATGTATCTGGTTGATTCAACAAAAAATTGCTCGGACCAAGTAAAATAACTCAAGCATAAATAATTTGTTGATGCAACAAATCCTTTTTTTCCGTGCACGTGACTTGAATCATTCATAATTAATAAAAAATTAAAGTGATTGAATCAGTCACTCCATTTTATTTTAAACAGCATTGGGAATCATGATCAGAAAACATGTTCAGAGAAATTTTTTTGGGAGGCTGCAAATCTCTGAGGAGCATTTTTTACCCATGTGCTCATTCGATTTCGTTTCCTGATTTTTGGTAGTAGAATCTACTGCCAAATTATTGCAAGCTTACGGCATTGTCTTCAGCGGTCGCGAGTGGGAAAAGTGATCGAAATTAATCAGCTCGGAAGCAGTTTAAAATCTTGCATCGTTCATGAAATCAGTGAACGCTCATATTTATGTAAATTTGCGGATAAATGATTTCCAGAATCACTATCCACTAGCAAAAACGCGTGTTATTTACACAGAGAGCCGACCGAACGGCCGTTCGGCATGCGATATCCGTGTTAATGGGACAGATCTCTTGTATTTTTAATTGAAATTATGAAAAACTAGTTTGAACAAATTTAATTACACTCTCTGCCACCGACGGCTCCCGGTACAACTACGAAGGGAGCACGCGATTTCTCATCGGTAATTCTTTCTAATTACCCAGCTAAATGCAGATGGCACGACAACAAACCGTCGACAAATACAATACACCATTCGCCTGTTCATCGTGCCCGATTGATTCTGGTATCCTCCGCAAATGCTCGAGGGTGCCACAAGGTTCAGTTCGTGGGCCACTCCTATTCGCCATCAACGCGAATGACGTAATTGATCACGGCTCACGGAGATTCATCTGACTCCTGTACAAAATGAGTTTCATCATCATTACAACGAATTCCATATAATCTTTGGTAGCATTCCATGGTTTCCCAAAGTGGAGTGAAGTAGCCACAATGTCGTGGAGATGACTTCGAGTATTATTTTGTAGAATTCCATATAGTTGCAGCCATAGTGGCAGAAGTGCCCTAATTCCTAATGTTTCATCCCTACTATTCGCCATCTACATGAGTATAACAGTATTTATATTATGTTCTTGGTCCACGAACATGCATTCTTCTTCGAAAACAGTATTGGTTCCTAATATTCATTTGTTACAACCTCTATAGTTGCTTTTATGCAGCTGGATGGTCGAAAGTTCTACACAGTTCTGTTTATCGGTCACTTATTCTTTCTGCAATCTATGCGAATCACATAAGTTCTAGTTTATAATCACTAATTTCCATAAAAAATTGCATCTGAAACGTACAGTTTCATAGATAGTCGAGGTGTTTTTTGTTTTGTTCAACAATGTTTTAATCGCAGTACCTATAGTTAAGTGTATAATTTATGAAGATATCATCAACCCTATTATGTTATGCTTATGTTCTTTATGGAAAATTCATGAAGAAACAAATGACATACAGAGAATTCAAGTCGCTTTAGAATATCTGAGAACGTATTCTCACTTACTTTACGGCACATTGTTGAATTTGTGCTTTTGTTGAAATTGAGTGACTCACGGTTCCATTCCTGGACCACATCTATTCCTATCTACAAAAATCATTCCTGTGTTCGACTTTGCAAGAGATGCGATTTTATTTTGTTACAATGAATCAGCTCCGATCATTTGTAGATGCCTCTGGATTACTTCAATTTACATTTAAGTTCATCGTTATTGGTATTACTTACATGTGTGAAATAATAGTAGTACACTTTCATGCCCCTTTCGGCTGCTAATTCTGCGAAATCGTTCGTGGGACAGATGAAAAAGTAGTCACCTACTACGTCTCCTATCATCTTCTGATTGAGGTAACCATCGTGGACATGTTCCCAGTTGGTATACTGAAAAACGGGAATATTGATGAGTATGAAAAACATAATATATACAGTGTGTTTCGTTAAATGTGGGACGCACTTCGAGAGGTGATAAGGCGTCAAGAAAATAAGAAAGTTTCCATGAACAAAAGTCGTTGAAGGCTTCGTTTGCAAGATACGGGGTGTTGAAGTTGAAAATGTTTATAGATTTTTTTATGTGACTGGCATAGTACCACAATTACAGAATGATATCTATAATGGTTATAGAATTATTCTGAACAGATGTTTTGAATTTGGGAGTTGAAGTTGGTTATTCGGTTTTTCTCGACGAGAATGTATCTTCACGAGTTTCAACAGTTGGTGCTTTCTTCTACAAAATTGCATACTCTTTCATTATCGAATAAAATTTGAAAAAGTTTCATCGCCACTCATATTTTTTCTGAAAAATCACACATCAACACCCCTTAACGGTGCCACTGAAAGTCATATTGACTTAATAATGCTACCCATTCAATCACTCTCAGGGTTACTGATCTATATGCACCAGAATATCAAGAATTTTTGTTCCGCGGTTATCTAAAAATTTCATAGGAAAAATATTTTTTTCCCAATTTAGAAAAAAATGTTTCTTTTTTCCAAAAATTTTTTTTTCAAATTTTTTTTTCCGATTTTTTTTTCAATTTTTTTTATCAAAAATTTTGTTTCGTAAATTTTGTTTTTTCTCCTCAATTTATTTTTTTTCGAATTTTTTTTATCAAATTTTTTTTTATAAAAATGTTTCATTTTTCCAAAATATTTTTTTTCAAATTTTATTTTTCAGAATTTTTTTTTTCGATATTTTTTTTTCATCAAATTTTTGTTTTCCCAATTTTTTTATCCAAAAAAATGTTTATTTTTTCCAAAATATTTTTTTTCACAATTTTTTTTCTGATTTTTTTTTTCAAAATTATTTTCTATAAAAAATTTTGTTTATAAATTTTGTTTTTTTTTTCAAAATTTTTTTTTGTCAAAAATTTCGTTTGGTAAATTTTGTTTTTTTTTTGTTCAAATTTTTTTGTTCAAGATTTTTTTTCCAATACAGGGTGGTCAAAAATCTTAATTCTGAACCATAGTTCATAGGTTTCCACACTGTATCATAAATCTTTCAATGAATGAGGATGGTATGGCGAGAAGCGTATATTTTCTTTGAATACCTTGTAATTTACTTCCATGCTATTATCGGTATTGTTCTCTTGTAGAATTATTTATTGTTCTATGGAAGTTATATCGATTATTTTTCATTAATAGTGCCGGAATTATATCAATAATTCACCTGGAAGACAATTGCATCGCGTTCCAACCGGCTCATATTCTTGAATATCGTGTCTATGATGTCGTGGTATTTCTCTCTCTGAAGAAAACTGGGCCCGTCTTTCTCGAAGAAATCGATGAAATCGTAGAGGAGGAAATATGTCCCTGAAAAAAAAAATTACTTCCTATATCGAAGGTATTAAAATATACTGGGTGACACGTTATAAAGTGCCACAGGATTTTGTTTTCATTTTGATTCGAAAGATACTTTTTTCTACGGCTATAACACAAGATTGCTCTTGTATTATTGTGTTTGATACATCAATGAGGTACTTTGTATGTCATCAATTTTATTTCCGTATCTGATATCACAATGACTTCATTGTGTTATTATTTCAAAAAAATCTCATCGCTCATGGAATGTGAAATGTGAAGCAATGACAAATCTGTCTAATAGATAAGTATTACTTGACAGCAAATCAGATGGCTATATGACAAAGAAATCGAAAATGCTGATGTTCTATTATAGCCGTAGAAAAATTATAGTGTATAACTTGCACGGAATGCTAATTTCCTACTCGAATTATTGCAGCATTCACCTACGCTATGGCTAATGCTGCAAACTTCATTCTCGTAGGAAATCACTATCATTCCGTTCTCGTTATACAATATACCATTTCACCATCTGATGAGGAAATATACAGAAAGCAGCAGAATGTTAATGGATTCTGAATTGTACACATATTCCACCAAAAAAATATGCTGAATACGGGCATTAAAAAGTAATGGTTTCATCGCATTTTGAATTATTTTTCAAAGGAAGCGACCAAATTGCGAATAACCGGAATTTTGATTTTCAATAATAACGTCTTCGTCAATGGACCGATTTCATTGATTTTAATCTTGTTTGAGAGAGAATACATCAAAACAGGACGCCAATTCAAAAATTTTTATATTTGTTCAATACACAATAAGGTGATTGGCGAACACACCTGACCTTGATAGAAGTTCAAAATTTTTTCGACTGTATATTTTCGTGCATAAGATTTTCAGAGCCTCAGCTCTTCTGAACAGAACAAGAAGTAGAACAAGCAAATCTGTTGAAAAATAGCTGGTAATAAGATGAAGACAGGTGTGTTATCCCATCTGTCGGTACATAATAAATATATTACTATGATTGCGTTCAAAAGGATCCCAGTTCTTAGTCAGAACATGAATGTCACAAAGACACTTTCTTTATGGTTTCATCTTATTCGAGTACCAAACCGTGCTGAAAAGTTCTGACGCTTCAATAGAATTCCTTTGTTTTTTTTTCTCCCAGACTATTTACCTCTGAAACCTGGGACTTGGTTACTCCATTTTATTATTGAAAAACTTTGGGAGCCTTGCTGAAAGTTATCACGGCGAACTTTCATAAAGAACAGCTTCAGAATCAATTTAATTTCACTCGATTAAACTTATCTATCACTCATTTTCATAGCAGAGACTATTTTCCCGTTTGTTGAATACTCTTTAAATGAATTACAAGGCTCCGGAGAGTATTTGAGCTTCAATCCAGGATGGATTGCTGGAACTTTCTTGCCATATTCAGTAATTGTATTTCTTTTTCTCCTTGCAGTGTAATCACTCTCCGGCAAGGTTGAAAAGTGGGCTTTCGCTCAACTTTTTGCCAGGGAAGTAGATTGTTCGTTACACAGCACCTACATTGAACATTAAATCGAGTAATTAGATTGAGCTGAAACATTTCTCTTCCACTTCGTTTCAGGTGTCGTTATTCTTTGTTGGTGAATCACTACATCTGACTACAAGGTTTTTTAGAGTCGAGGTGACAGACAAAACTGAGTTCAAAGATTCCACCCCAAAAGCTATCAAATGTGGGTACGTCCCTGGAAATTCTGGATCAAATCTAATTGGTCCAGTAAATGTCTGATAATTTTGGAAATAATCTATAAGAATTGAATGATAATCGGCTCGAGCATTTTCAAGATATCAATAAAAATCATTTTTATTTCAAATTTCGATAACGAAGCGTTTTCGGATCCATGTTTATATTATATACTTTTTTTCATATATCTTGTTTAGAGGAACCTCCCCTAGGCTTTTGTCACCACAGCTCTGAAACACCCTGTATATTCACAGACACAGGGCGATCTATATGAGACATGACGTTGAAATAATTCCAAATTGAAGCAAAATTTGAAAAAAATATGGTAGGTACATTCAGAGGTCATTGATCATACTGTAGAAATTACACTCTTTGAAGTGGTTATGAGATTCTCAAATTGACTCTCTGATATCAATGATTTTATTTATTGGTGGAATTGGACAAAAGACAGGAATTGTTCAAAATTTATTTCATTTCAGTTGGTATGTATATTCGAGGAAATAGTGTAAGGTTCACCTTGAAATTCATTTCATGATGTATTCAGTCAACAAGTTCGCAGTTTGCCAGAAAATTTTGGCTCGAGATTTTTCCGATTTGGAAACATCGTTTCCTTGTTCGCTAGAATAGGGAATTTTTGTCTGATTCCATCAACTTCGTATCACTGATCGATTCCGATATGCCAAAATAATGGTACATGAAAGTACGGACCGTACCCCTGTATAACTTCTGCATTCGTGAACGGATGATTCTAAAATTTTGTACAGTTATATAAGCAACCATTTCAGATCACATTATATACAATCCAATATGGCTGATTTCCGTTTTTTCTGGAGATGCCAGCAACTTTGTTTTCTTAAACGAACCAACCTGTATATTCTACCATATTCAAGGTCGACAGATCGAAACAAGTACAATCTTCATGGCAAAATTCAGAAATACTGTTTTCTACAGCCCATTTGAAAAATTATTACGACTGCCAGTGAATTATTGAAACTATATACTTAATTGTTGATTTTTTGATGTAAATAATTTGTTACTGCATCGAAATTCAAGAATTATATGTAATTTGTTTCCTTGATGTATGTTCTAGAGAAAGGTTCCATTTGAAAACTATGAATTTTCGATCACAATGTGATGGCTGAATTGATTCATCGATAAGTGACACAAAATGTTTTTTCAGAAAAATTCATGTTTCTCTAGTAAGTATGTGAGACTCATCGTGAATAGCCTTGACCACATCTCATTTATATCCACGAGGTGAAATAAAAACACAATTTCAATTTCAAATTCTTCGAGAATATTACATTTGACATGAAGATTGCACTTGTTTTGCCCTGTTGAACTTCAAAATGTTAAAATACACATCCGCCATATTGGATTGTAATGTGCTCAAATCCGAGGTGGTTGCTTATACATACAACTTCACCAAATTTCAGGAAAATCCCTTTACGAGTGCAGAAGTTGCAGGGGTGATAGATACCCTTTGTGTCACCTGGTATGAAAGACAATATTCAGTGTCATGATGTCAGCACGAATTGGATTATGACCTATGATTCGAAAGTTGGTGAAATGTAGAAGATAGTTTTTCCTCAAGAAACTGAAGTTTCTTGTCACGAACGATACTAACTTGAGTTTAATCATAGGGATTATCGTATTTCTGGCGAAGGCAGCGGTGATAAAAATGGCTGACAAGATATCGATCTCGGTAGTCTTTGCTGGAATAATGATAAAACGAATACGTCGTCGTAGAGATGAAGTGAGTGTTTCCTAATACTGTTGAAGAATAACAAAAACAGGTTCATTCGATCAATGATGCTCCAGAATTGATAACATCCATGTACCATTCTTACAAGAACTTATATTCTTTATGTAAAAGTGCTTGAAGAATCATATTCTGGTTATAGATAGATAGATAGATAGTTTTATTTGACCACTTTACATGAATTACATGTTTGTAGCAAGTCAAGGTACAATAGATTTTATTATTATAGTAAAAACACTCAAGTATACATTACAGAATGAGATTGATCATGAAAAAAATTGGGGCACCTCAATAGAACCTCCTTGTATATTATATCATGTGATTCTATATAATATAGGATCATCAGTGATAACAAAGATAATTCTTTATAAAATAAAAATATGAATCCTATTTCAATATACGTAATAGTGAGGACAAATCAGATGATATTAAAATCATTGGAAAATAAAATAACAACCAGAAGAGGAAAGTCAAGGAATCTGCTTGCATTCTTCTGAACGGAGACAATAGCATTGCTTCCTGTTCAGTTGATATTGATAGAACATGGTGTTCACTATACTGAAATCTAAAAATAAAAATGGTAAGTTCAAGATTAATTAATGAAAACATCCTGTAACTCATTTGATTAACAACGTCGCCAATAGTCACTGAGAACTGATATGGGTCAAGATAAATACGAATTTGCCATACAAACAAAGGGACAAGGAGAGAAAATCCCAAAGAAGTCTGGAATGATGAATGCATATAGGTCCTTTGGAAGCATATTTGGAGTATACGACCGTTATTCTGGGATACCCTGTATATCTATTTATATTTTATAAAGAGCAGTACTATCACCTCTTGAAGTTTAGCAGATGATATCCGGAACACAAATTGAGTTTCCACGTTCCTTTGAAGATATCACAGTTAAATGAAAGAAGGATTCAAATCGAAATGATAATTTACTAAGTTTCTCCATCAGACTTTCTTGGATATCGATCAGTTATAAAAACTCCACAAATTGTAATTACTTTACTGTTTCTGTATAAGATCTAGAAAAACTCTGGAAATTTCATAACACATATTTGTAATTATATCCAGCAATAGTCGGAATCGATTTCTTAGATTCCACTATTCACCTGGTGGGTGATGACACATTCACTGCCTCTTTGACCTCATTAGAACACCGTAGAAGAGTTGTCGACCTTTCACTTTTCCATATAGATACTTCCACTAGAAATGTTTCTCAGAAATCTCTGCTTTAATTTCATCACTAGCAATACCAGTCAGTCGAACACGACAGGCTCAGTCAGCACATCCTTTCGTTGATAACCTTGAAATACGTCGAACAACACTCTACCAAAACTCGTTCGTCTAAAGAACGGCGAAGCTTAGGAATTCTTTGCCAATGGAAGTATTTTCAAGAACTTATAACTTCCAAAATTGAAAAAAAATCCAAAACCTACCTCTTCTCCCTATCCTCCCTAGGTACGCACGATGTTCTACGAACATTATAGGAATTCATAAACAAGACACACA